AAAAAAATTATTATTCCCAATACATCGTATTATTGTTAAAATCCTGCCATGTTTTTGGCATTGTCTTGCGATTATCTAATGATGAGATATCGCTATTCATTTTTTCTAGTAATTTAAAATTTGGGCGAACTTTTTTTAACCATAAATGTCTTTTTGGTTTATTTCGTGATTCTTCTAACAACCTTTTAGTCTTAAAGGTAGTTATAATATGAAAGTCTGAAAGATAAATTAAATTATAAGCTTATATAAATTTTAAATAAATTACCTTGTCTAAAACTTCATGCAAGTAAGCCAATTCTGATTCATATACATCTTGCTCTTCGTCACTACTTTCAATAATATAGTTATCTTCATGCTCAATAATTTTGTCTTGAGATAATAAAGCACTTGAAATTTTATGATTTTGAGAATTTTGAAGATTTTCCAAGTCAAATATATTTACTAATTTGCCTTCGTAGGTTGAGATTAAAGGATAATACCCATTTCGTTGTACCTGCGATAGAAACTTATATTAATTCATAATATATATTAAAAATAAAATAAATTATAACTTGCCTTTTTAAAAAACATTAAATCAGCTTTTTCAATGGAATTAATTAAATGCTTGCACAAAAAAAAACGACTAAGACGATATGCAGGGCATGCACATATCCACTTGGTAGGATCAGTAAAATATTTATTATTTGATTGAGTTTTTTGCTTTTCATGTTGCTTCCACTCTTTTTTAAACTCTTTTCGCCATGGTACTGAATATCGACCTTGTTGAAGTAGTTGAACTCGATATAATTGTTGAGTAAGAACTTTTTTGATAAGAATGTAACAGAGATGATCAATTCTAGGTTTGTGAAATTTATATAAATGATCTCGTTTAATGAGACGCCAATGCGACTCGATGATCATGGTAGTTTTAATATGACAAATATATTCATTAGACGATCGTGCCCATAAAATCCATTTGTCTTTCGAATACCATTCTTTCCAGAGGTATATCCATAGCCGAAGTAAATCATTGGATTTACAAAACTGAAATATTTCACTTACACATTCTTTCCAAATTTCGTTTGCATCTATAGCGAAACTACCATCAGATTTTGGTAACAATATGTGTCGGCTTGAGTGATCTTCTATAAATTCAATTATTGTTTTACGCAAATTTAAGGGACAAAATATTGCTGAATTAGAATTATCTACAAATCCCCAATCAGGATCTATTAATGAACATTCCTCATATGCAATTCTGGGATTATAAGAATAGTATACACTTATTTTATTTGATGCTAATCGTTGCTTGATAGCACGTCGTACATGCCACATGCATAACTGCACACGGGCTTCAGGCCAAACTGCTTGTGCTGAATTTATTTCCGAAAAGTCTTTATCACTTAAAATTAAAGGAAAATTATTTAAATGTCGTTCCTTAAGTGCTTGCATCCAACATGTAAGAATTCTTGTTATATCCCTGTTTTTTCCAGCTGAAATTAAAAGATAACTAAGGGGAAATCCAGTACCATCGATTACGCCCATAATTGCATATAATTCCCACGATAAATTATTAGTACTATAAGTCGCATCGATTTCAATTGCATCAAATTTATTTTGAATTAATCGATAAAACAATGTCGTTAAAAATCCAAGAGCAGGAATAGGTGAATTGAGATGATCTACTATAATTTCCAAATTAAACTCTTCTAATAAAAGCTTTGATGACAATAAAGAATCTGAATGTCGGCAATATTGCTTTCGAGATTCCACCATCCACCAATAATAGGTTTGTTGAATAGTTATGCATTCGTACCCATTAATTTGATTTTCACGAATCTGGTGACAAATTTCAGCAGGGGAACAACAAATATTATCTTTAATAAATTTTTTAATTTCTAAAGACGTTTCAACATGACTAGGCCGTGAATGTAACATTTTGTGAGAATATTTGATCATGATCAAA